CCAAAAGCCCTTTTAATATTCTGCAGAGACTCTGGGTATACAAATGAGCATGAGCTGTCAGAGCTGAGAAATAGGGCAGAGATGCCAAGAGGTTTCTTTGCCATTTTGCACAAAACTCTGACCTGCAGCCCTGTGGTGAAAGTTGGCCTTGTTTTTTCTGCTCCCCTCAGTGCCACTGTGATAATTGTGCTGAAATCATTAGAGCCCCATTGGTATAAAGCTGTTATCACGCCTTTTTTGTTTCTAGTGAGGAGTTTGAAGACTTGTGGGGCTTTCAGCCTTGAGGAGCTGCATTGTACAACTATTTAATCATGAAATTATGCAAACGCTGCTCAAGCCCTGCGAAGCAGGAATGCCAGGTCATTCATTCACCGCTATAAGTCGCTTGTCTGGAGTGGAAGCCGCAGGCTTACAGCCTAGTGCCCGTTTGCAAAGCTGCAGTGCTGGAGGTGCTGGCTCAGCCTTTAATCAAAGATTGGTCAAATGCAGCAACCATTGGATCAGGGTTAAGCGGGTCACTGCTGGCACAGGGAACACGACTTTTCTAGCAAGCCGAGTCTACCGCATCTTTGATACGTTAGACTTTTCTTTCCCCCCCAGCTGCATTTCTTTACCCACGTGGCTGGAGAGGGGGAATGGGAGGGTGGGAAGGGAGAGGTGTGCTAGGACAGTAACAGAGAGACATTATGGAGACAGACTGGGTGTCACACAATATGCTGGTACAGTCTCATGTTCATTATCTCAATTATTTATCCTCCCTGCTGGAACACTTCTAAAACAAATTCTACCATGTGTTTTGAGGTTGGGCTTCATAGAGTGAAATCGCAACTCCTTCTCAGAGTTTAGCTGGAAAAATACAAATCTGCCAACTAGGACTATGAGGGAAATAAACTGTGGTTCTGTGTAGCAGCACGTGATGGATTTCTGCAGATATGGAAAGCGTCTGCTCTGGAGTTCCAGGTCAGAGAGTATGTGTATTTGCCCCAATGTTATATTCATTGCATGTGAAATAATGATGTGAGATTCTGAAATTCATTTTAATAAAGCAGATGGCTTTCACCCTGATCAGAAAATTCAACTTCACAGTCCCAGGCCTTGGAACCACCAGCCATCAGAATTACACACTAAATATTTCAGTGCATAGTAGTCAGGGAAGATATTTATTAGCTTGATTTGTCACCACCATTCTCAGGCTTTCTGCAAGGACAGATAACAACCCCAGACCTTGAAGCAGCCTGGTCCCTGCTGTGTGGTGAGCGAGCTTTGAATGTCATTTCTGTAACCGCAGTACTGAGCATGCATCTCTGTGTTTGAAAGCATCGTCCGTCTGTTGGTTAGCTAAATAAATGTCACAAGGATTTGTTGGCAGGATGGATTTCCTTAGTAAGAAGATCTTTTGCATTAGGACATGTGCTTTCTGGATTAGTTAAATGTCTTTTGGGTCCTGTCTAAGTACCTTGGGTGTGGATCTGGGTTTCCAGGCATTTCTCAAAGGAAAGGATCAGAGTTCAAGTCCAATTTGAGCTGAAGTAGTTCTATTTCTGACCTGGGCTGTGTTTTGCATATGTTTCAGCAGACATCACTGACATGAACATGATATTAGTACAAATCTCACCATGCAGTGGCACTGCTGCTTCCTTCCCCTTATGTCATTTTGTTCATTTACATCTAACCTTGTGTGCTGCAAATGCACCGGGAGGGCTCTTAGAGACACTCTTCAAGAGCAGAGAGGGCTGCTGGACTGGTGCTGTTCGTACACTGTCTGGCAGAGACAATCAGAGTATCCTCCCCTGGGAGCTGTTTGATTCATCCCTGTGCAGAGGGGTGCTACAAGCCCTTTTTTATGAGCTGAGCTCTCCAAGGAGAGCTTAAATGATCAATCCATCTCAAATTATGCACAGATATGGTTTTCAGACAGTTCAAGTCAGTCTCTCTAAACCTTTGGGAGTTATTAATATGTGCAAGCCAGCAGAAGGCAGAATAGGACTCCATATTTTATTTGCTCTGTAACACATCTGGTACGCCTGTTGGCTCTTGGAAACACTGGATTTATTCAGTCTTATCTTTCTATGGGGATGAGCAAGATCAAAAGCATGAAGCTGGTTATATGCAGAACATAATTCCCTGTTTTACACACCACAAGCAGATCCAGACCAAACAAGCCTCACCCATTTCCTTCCCTGTAGGACAATGCACTTATGGCACTTGCATATTCTTGGGCCATTTCAAGCCAAAAAATATTGCCCAAGATCTATTGCAGAGAATAAAAATAAACAAATGTTATTTCCTGTTGGGTAAAAGAAAGTCTATGTCAGTATTGACCTGTGAGGAAATCCCTCAATCTAAGTGTTCCTGAACCATCAGGTGCTTTGCAAAACATTGGGTATCGTGAGGTGGAAGATCTATGTCTGGCGCCTTTCGGAAGCCACGCAGCTCCTCAGAGAGTTTCAGTGAGAGAATTTCTTTAGAAGGTTTATGCAATGGGTGATTGGTTGCCATTAGCACTCAAGCAAACTTCTTAAGAGGGTAAATCACTAATGTGAAACAGCCAAGCTTCCTGGCCCTCCAAGCCATGTGCTAAAGTCTTTGCATAGCTGACAGCCATCGGTGCATGCCATGTGTTTCATAAAACTGGAAAGTGTTTGTGGATGAAGATTGGAGAGATTCCTTGGGACTCCTTGTGCCAAAGGGGACAAAGCTTGTTAGTGGGGACAACTGAGTTCCAGGTATCGGAGTGATGTTTATTCAGGCCAAACCCCATGTTTACCCATTCATCCCAACAGATAGGCACTGGGTTTACTCAACATCCCCTGCATTGGTCCAACCTCAGCCTGAGCTGCACCTGAATGGACTATTAAGGGGCTCAAGAATTACAGGTCAACCTCCCCAGCCCTATGGAAATACCAGGATTCAATACTTATTCTGTGGGCAGTCCGTGAAAACTGGCTCTGGCCCTTAAGGAACCCAGAAACACTCACAGAGATGTATTTCTCCTCTGTGGGACATGAGATGGCAGTAATTCATGACCGGAATATGGATGGTCTGTTCTCTGAAATACTTCATGCTGCAAGTCATTTTTCTTTTTTAAAAACTGCTGTACTTCAGAAGTCGTGATAGGTGAGTGGTCCAGCCTGGAAAGCTTCTCTGAGAGCTGGGAATGGGCAGTTCCACACTGCTGCAAAGCGCTGGGAAAGTGCCTTGTTGATTAAGTCTCTGCTCAGGGCTTTATCCTCCTTCACTCACTTTAGAATTGTTGAAATGAAAACAGAGGCAAAGCAGCAGGCCTTCTGTTTAGATAAGTGATGTCCTTTCTATCAAGTAATCATTTTAAACTGCACTCAGAGCCTATTTTGTTAACATTTGTTCTTGCTAAGGCATCCTGTCAAGACCCCTTTGGTGGCTGCTGCCTATCTGTTGCTTCTATGCAGCAAAGTGAGATGGAATCTACTTTGTGCTGCAGCTCCAGTCTGCATCAGCCCTGGGGTCTGTCTTGGATTTTGTTGCTGTCACAGAGGCAGACGATTTGTTGTGGGAATGGTAGCAGGCCCTGGGAGCCCAGGGATGGAGCAGGACTCCACAGAGACGGGCATTTGGTACATTCATTGCTTTCCCCGATATTTGACCAGGACGCAGTATAGGAGAGGGTACAGCACAGAGCTAAATGGAGTAGTGGTGATGTCTGCTGAGGTGGGAGCATGTGCCACATCAGCTTGCACCAGTGGCAGAACACGTGCCTCTGCTGGTGACAACGGGTCATGTTGGTTCGCCTCATGAAAAGTCTTAAAACTAATTTTTTTCTTCATCTAGCTTCTATCTGTTGGGAACTTGGTTTCATACTCTGCCCCACTAAACATCCCCAAACAAGGTTCATGGAATGGGCTGTGACTGTTTACCTGTGCAGTGGATTTGAATATTTATTTTCCTTTCATTACTGATCTTGAATCACTTTCCTGTGCACCTCGGATCAAAAAGGGATCAGGGTCTGCAGACTGAAAGCCCTAGATTAAAATGCAAAGTACACACAAATTTTACATCATTTTGTTTTGTTCTTTCTAGAATGCATGAACTGCACAAGACTAACTGATATGACCGAGAGGCTAAACACGCTTGAGGCCAAGGTAAGGACCTGCCTTTATTATTCTGTTTGGCAAAAATTTCCAAGAGTTGCTGCTGAAAAAGATGTTGAGTTGGCAGCCCTGGAGAGATCAGGTGTCTGTCCTTCCATCCCCAGCGAGGAACACGCTGTCGTGGTGGTTCTCCAGAAACAGGGGTCACATGGGCATTGCTTGCCTCTAGCCCAGCTTCTTCCACTTCCCATGCAGCTGCATCTCTGCCTCCCTTCTTCCCTCCAGCTGCTCAGCTCAGCTCCTCTGAAATAACGCTCAGACCTGAGAAATAATGCGCTGTGTGTTGCCTCCACGCTTATCACTGTGTTTGCCCGTTAGGAGCTTGCCCTCACACTGGGTCCACCTTGTCTCTGGCTGGCCGGCTCTCGTGATGGGCTCGCTGGCCGCCGTGTAGTGGTGCATCCAGGCTGTGCTCGCTGCTGTCACAAGTGTGCAGCTGCTAATAAATAATTAATAGCTTATTGCTTTCGACTGGAACACGTTGGCTCAGGTTTTGCTTCAGAAAGAGAGGGCAGACAGAGCTGTATGAAAAATCTCTTGCCTTCAGCTGGCTGATAATGTGGGGATGTAAAGCAGTGATTCCCCTCGCTCAGGAAAGAAGCAGACTCTGATTCTGGTTTCTCTCGCTAAAAATGCCTTGTAGAAACCTTACTAACATAGAGTGCAAAACAGAGGAGTAACGCTACATAGATTTTTTTAAGAACAGTTGTTTATTAGCCTACTCTTCAAGTGCTATCCAGTCCTGCTTTTTTATCCCTTTTCTGAAAGATGTGAGGCTTTCACGCATAGTTTACTGGAGAGAAATATTAAGGGGAAAACTTCATGTTGCAGGGGTTTTTTTGCAAATTGTTTTAGTTTCTGTCTATAGAGATTCAGATAAATTGTTCCAGTCTTGCAACAAAGCAGCTGAGTCAGCCGTTCCCCCTTTGATCTGTGGTCCCTCCTGAGACAGCCCAATCCTGCTGTTAGATATAGCGCTTTGGTGCCTTTAAGGCATTGTGCTGCTGTTATTATTCATTAACTGATGGTTGTCAATGACATAAAAGAATTTGGGAAGAAACCTTTGTGGAGGGGGGTGGTGGATGTGTGGTGGTTTTGAGGCCAGTGCATGATATTATAGCAATTTGGGAATTGTCTGTGCTGAAATGGAGTGAGCAATGTTGTCTGGAACTTCCTCAAAGCTTTCACAGTTGTATTTCACTACAGGAAAATGAAGGGGTGAGGGGAATGAAATTCTGGGGAGCAGAATTGTTCAAGTGAAAACAACTGTTGTAGTGCAAAGGACAAAGACAAGCTGGATTGTTTTTCTGAGCAGCGGGACCTGGCAGGTGGGTGTTCTTTGGCAGTAAGGAGCTGGAGGCGTTTGGAGAGGGGAGAGGGGCTGGTGATTGACCTCTGCGTGTGCAGTCCCGAGTCCAAGTAAGACATTGGACCATGAGAGATGTAAATCAGCCCTCCTGTGCTCAGCCTGTAGCCAGCTGTACCGTCCTTTGCTTTCCAGGACTTTCTATATTTGGCTCACTGGAAAATGATAACCAAAGACTGTCCTGACACCAGAGCGCCCGTGCTCTGCTGGCGTGTGCTGCTCAGCACTTGTGTTGGGTAACAAAGCATAAGAGGCTAATGGCAACCTCAGCTGGGGCCCTGGCAGGACTTCATGGAGGAGGAAGGAGGTCCTACCTACCCCAGTCCCTTTGAGAAGTCTTAGCCCAGAGTGAAATGGCATCCAGGTCAGTGGGTTTGTCTCACAGATACGAAGCTGGTTTAAATCAGGTGACATTCCCATCACCTGAACACAATCTGCTCTCTAGTGTTGGCTCCAACTGCCAGATGCCCACAGTATTTGGGAAGTGCTGCCTTGCTTCCCTTCTGCATGGGAGCTCTAGTGAAGGCAGGAGCACATTGTCTCCTACTCTAACCTAGGACACTTGTGCAGCAACTGGCATTTGTCTCCTGGCTGTCCTGACATGCTGCCCTTAGGAAATGCTTCCTATGTGGGCAGCCATATGGCTGCAATCTGCTCTGCCTTTAGGAGGGAGCACTGAGTCATCATCAACAAACACAGTGTTGATGGCTGAAGACTTCATAGTCTTGCAGACCTCCTAACATGAGGAACAGTGAGGCGGGTGCCTGCAAAGTTCAATGCCAAGATGTAGCCAGCCAGACCCTAGAGATGACACTTGAAGGATTTTGGTGCTGCCTCGGTCCCAGCCATAGTCAAGACCATACCAACTCCTCTCTGCCTTGTTGAGAGCGGGGCTTTGGGTAACTTGATTCTTGTCAGCTCTCGATCTTGGGCGTAGTGCATCATGACTCTGTTTTAGTGCTGCGCTGAGGCAATTTGTGTTGTTGCTGTGATGGGTTTCCGTCTGACTTTACTACGTTCCCACAGAGACCCAGGTTGGAAGCAAAGCTCATCAGAGGGTTTACTTTTACATAGGGAAATTAGTTATTTCTTTCTATTGTGAAGTACTAAAGACCGTGTCTCTGCAAGGGTGCCTTCTGCAGCACAGCCCAGCAATGTCATTATCAATCTTTTGGCTTCCACTTTGTTTGAAAAGCTGTGGCAATTGCCTGAAATCGCCTGTAGCAATTAAATGGTGAGTGAAGCAACATCACATGAATGCTGGTGCTGTTCACAAGAGAAATATGCTGATTCACTCTTTTCTCAAGGTTAATTTAAGTTCAGTTTGATCTATGTAGCAATGTAATGACCTCAGTTGTTGTTAATCAATAATAACTAGCACCATTAAAAAGGTGCTTGAATTAGTTTAGTACTGTCTGTATTCCTGCTCTGGATTTTGGAGAAAGATCCCTATTTTGCTGGATGATCTAGATGTGAAGTTGTCTCTTAGGTCTCCAAACTGTCTTCTTGTAATGTCTCATTTCACCACAACAACAGCCTGAAGCTGTTCAGAGGAAGACATGAGTGATAGGATGGGCACACACATCCCTTACCGGTGTCGGAGACTGATTTTTGCTGTCTTGTTCTGCAAAGGCAGATGTGGAAGTTCATCCTTCCTACGAGCAGAGATGGATTTTCCTGCCACAGTCCTGCTCCTTCTGGAGACAGCTGAAGTTGAGGAGCTTTGCTGCTTTCGCTCTTTTGAATTTCAGCCCAGCATGACCATGGTGAGCTCAGGGAATGGTAATGGGTAAGATCAGCCAGCCACCTTCAAGCAGATCAGGCCATTGGCACCTGCTGTAAGGGCATTGAGGCACGTGGAGCCTGTGTAGACTTGTTATTCTGTAGACTTGTTATAAATACTGCAAGGTCCAAGGGTGAGAGCAGATGTGTGGAAAAGCTACCTCTGAATGCACCGTGGACCTGGGCAGATCAGTGCTGGGTGAGAGGTTTTGCTTTAATAGAGTAGGTTAAGGACAAGTGAAAAACAATCTCTTCCTCACGCCTCTGCAATGGGGACAAGGAGCCAACAGCCTTTCTTGGTTATGTGTGAGGATATGTAAAATGCACGTTTGTCCTCCAGTGGCTGTGAAGGGCAACTTAAAGAAACTTAAACTCAGTCATGGAAGAAGAGGCTACAAGACTGTGGTTTCTTCTTTTCCCATTCCTCTTCTGCAGCCTTTTATAGCTGTCCCCCTAAAAATTGGGGATATAACCAGAAATGGCCTCATCTTTCTTGTTACAGGGATGAGTTGGTTCATCCAACTTGTAAGATCAGTGTCCAAATGAGGTAATAAAAGTAACCCTCTGATTTTTGTAATATGAGAGTTGGATCAGAAAGCGAGAAGTGAGAATAAACACAGAGCAACTGGAATGAAAAATGACTCATTAGAGACTGGTGCTTATATAGCCCTTGGGGAGGAGAGAGACTCTGAGACATGGCTGAACTGTGCAGCAGAACAAACTCTTCACATGTCTTATGCTTTCCTTAACGCTACCCTAGGTTGTCCTTGTGGCTGTAGGAGATGTTTCTGCAGGAAAGGAGGTGAAGGGAGATGGAATCAGGTTCCATCCTGGTCTCCCCTGTTTCCAGTTACCCTGTCATCATGGAGTTGGCCTGCTCCATTTGCTGATACCAGACCCATTTGGGTGCCAGAGATTTGAAAGCTTGATCGATGGTGTTGAGCTTGAAATCTACAGGCTGTGGGAATCTATGTTAGGGAGGATGGTGTTGAGCCTGGGGTCAAGGACAAGAAAATGTGCCCACCGGAAGAAAACTACCCCCTCCCCAAGCCGCAACACACCAAACCTTACTTCTCTCCCATGACATCTCACCTGACATCACTACAGCACCCCCTGAACCCTGTGGGGAGCCTCATTGCTGGGAGGGCAGAATGAACCCCGCTTTTATTTCATATGAAAGGTTTCTCCTTAGGCCAGCACAGCTTCGTAGTGGGGAGAGCGTACAGCCCTTCCTTGCTGAATTTCCTGAGCCTGATGCTGCCCTCCTGTGTCACAGGACTAAGCCCAGACAAACTCCACCGAAGCTCAGGAGCGCTGCAGGTCAGGAGAGCAGCACTGCTGCCCACGGCAGGCAGTGCTGGCAGGAAAGCAGGCAGCTGCATAAAAATTTCTGCTTATTTTGTTCGCCTGGTTTCTTTTAATAAACACCGCCACAGAGCTACGGGCAGTGTGATATTAATCCCAGCTTTTGGTTGGAGCTTGAGTGCAGCATTTGATCTGAGTTGATATAACCCAGTCTTATCTCCTGACACTGCTTTTGAGAAGTTCGTGGCATTTCACTTTCAGCTTTAATGCAGGGAGATAACATTACATATCTAGTGTCTGATTGATTCATTGTGTGATTGATAAATGACATGCATATTTTTTGCATGAAAGCAGTCCTTGTAATGTGATTCCCCACACAGAAGATTCTGCAAGGTTTTAAAGAAAATCTTTGTACTGTGCACAGAATTTGATCAATATATTGCTATTTATATGAAATCACCCCATTTATTTAGAACAGATTACCCCACAGCACCTTCACTACACTGTGTCTTTTGATTATGAAGCACCATTACCTGGA